GTGACCTTGGGCAAGTCACTTAACCCCAATTGCCTAAAAAAAAAAAAATAAAAACAACATGAAAGATTTTCCCATATGCTGTGCTGAAATCTCTGTAAATAATGTCAATCATTCAACAAACATAAGACCTTTGCCAAGTGCCTGGCATTGCATTATGCACTGGATATATAAATACTACTTGATGATACCAGCCTTTCTCACAAGGATTTTACATTGGAGAAAACAAGTATATGTGAAGATATAAAGAGAATAAGTACTAATAGATATAAAGTATTTAAATACAAGGAAAGTAGCACACTAGCAGTTTGGTGAGATTAGGAAAGGCTTTTTGTAGAAGGTAGTGCTTGAGCAGCATCTTGAAAGAGAAGGATGAAATCAAATAGAGGTAAAGAGATAGTTCATATTTAGGTATGTGGGGTGTCTAGAACAAAGGCATAGAAATGGGAGCTGTAGTGTTGTATAGGAGGAATCAAGAGAAGACTGGATCCCAGAGAGAGGCCAATGAGGCTGGAAAGATAGTCTGGTATCAGGTTATGAACGGCTTTAAGAGCTGAAGAGAGACGTTTATATTTCATAATAAAGCAATAGAAAGCTACTGAAGAAATAGAGGAGTCATATAGTTAGACTTGTACTTAAGGAATATTACTCGGGCAGCATTACATAGGATGGGCTGGAGTAGTGAGTGACTTGAGGCAGAGAGACCAGTTAGGAGGCTATTGAAATAATCTATGTGAGACATGATGCTTATGTGAGGAGTTACATGCAAGAGATGTTGAAGCTAGATTTGGCAACTGATGAAACATGTATGAGAGACCTGGGAGCGTGTCTGTCACTTCTCTGTTGTCAGTTATCATCATAGCATCCACTCTACCCTGTGTGGTCTTATCCCTTTTATCATCCTTCTTTTTTCCATTAGTATAGTTTAATAAACAAACTTTTCTTTTGTTCTTAGCTTGCTTTGACAGCCTTAGCTCCTTCATCCTAAGCTTTAGCATCCCTGGTACTATTTTTAAAGGCTGGTATGCTTTTATACTCATCCTCTCTGACCTGCCTTTTTCATCGTCTTTACATATATTTTTAAAATTTGAATTGGTTTGTGATTTCCATGTGCAGCCACATTGGACTCTTAGACAACTTTTTCATTTGCATTGGAATTCTTTCCATTGATTTTAAAATTTCATTAAAATGTAATTAGAATTCCTACCCCTACAGGGTTGACCTCTATAGAATTTTAATATGGGACCTTTTGAAATTTTCTCTCATGAAATCTAAAGTACATATTAGACTAGGCCAGGCTATCACAGACTGTAGAAGGTAGTGGTCACTTCTCCCAATGTTCTTCCCTCTTGGTGAGAATCCTCTTCAGTGTAAAATTTTCTGTTATCAATTCTTCTACTTTTAAAAGCATGAAGTTATTATCTGCAGATGTTTATATATTCTAGCATTGAAATATCATGCCTCTGTGCCAAGCTTATGTTTTTTTTCAGCTGAAAAAATTACTTCTTTTTCTCCTTCCATTGATCTTCACTCAAATGCTTTTCCTCCTCTTCTTATTGGGTTTTCTCAAATTAATAAAGGAAATACCTTAATATACAATGTGACTTATTTTTCATTTCTCCTACTTGTATCTTTGAATAAGACATAACTTATTTCAGAGCCATATTCTCATAATGGTTTTCATTCCACCAAAATCTTATTATTTATCTATGAGGTCAACTTTTCCTTCTTGTTAGAACCTCTAGGTTCCTTTTACCTGTTGCCCAGACTTTGGGCATTTGCGTATAGTCATCTGAGGCTATAGGTTTAATTACTGGCTCCTTTCTTGGATTTTATCTCCTTTGAAATTACTCTCTTTAACCCAGAAGGCTATCATTTCTTTTTCCTTTATTGTATTCTTTCTAACTTGTGAAATAAACAAAACCATTTTTTCCTTCCCCTGTCCTTTTTTAGTGTAAAGCCTTTTTAATTAGATTTTTGAAGCACTTGACAATACCTTCTGGTCAGCTTTTGTTAGGTATAGTCCCTAGAAATTAGCCAGTCTTGAGGAAATTCAGATTCCAAATCTGTGTAATCCTAGTTACAGAGTCTTTACTATAATTTATCTTATGCTGTTAAACTGGTAGATATGACTATTTCTAGGAAGGAACTGAGGTTAGATAAGCTTTGATTATTCTTTTTTTTTTTTTGGTGCCCAACTGGTCATCATGTGTGCTACTAGATGAGATAGCAAAATATATTGTTAGAGCATACTATTGCTGGATCATTTCATTTAGATTTTTAATTTTTGTTCATTTTCCTTCCACTATTAAGAGATAAAGAAAAAATCAAGATGAAACGACTGGAGTTAAACCCTCAGGTAACTAAATCCAGTTTGGAATATATAGAGAAATATGTGCAACTTTGGTTTTAATGTATAGTTTTGTGACTTTTTAAAAAATGTAAAACCAATACATTCCTTTTTTTAAAAAAGTTTTATATTGTGGTAACATAGTAACCTGGTACACTTCCTAAGACAATTCTAATCTTTTTGCAGCCTTGTAATGAACATTTATTTATGAAAAGCCACCCTGTCCCTTCAAGTAAAGACTTCACCACCCCAGTGAAGGAAAGTATTCCAAGATCGCATTTGTCATCTCAATTGGATCTTGACAACAACAGGTTAGTTTTTAGTAGGTTATGTTTTCCTCTTGAGTTATGAGAATAACCTTTCATTGCTACTTTGGGGAACAATATAGTTCTAGTTATATTTAGTGGTATTTGTGTAAAATCTTAAAATGAGCACAAATTACATAGTATTTATTTAATTTCTAAAAGTTTTCTTTCCTCTTCAATAAAATTAGACCACAGAACTTAAATTAGTATCAATTATGGTATTTGATATGATATTGTGTGTATATGTACTGACTGATTTTTCAGCATTTATACATACATTCAGTCTTTTTTAATGTGCTGTATAGTGTAGGGAATAAAAGTACTTTACAACAGTTCATGTAGTTTAGCAGCTTGTTTAGGAATAACGGATTTAAGAACAGGAAATAAGTAAAAAATAATACAGTATGATTTTGTGGTACAGATTTTATAGTAGTTGAGAACAGAGAAGAATAATGTGAATTAGAATTCTGTAGAAGGATTTAATGGAAAATGTGGGACTTAATCCAGCCTCCATTGATGGGCTAAGATTTGGATAGTTAGTGGTAGAAAAGTCATTCTAGGTGCTTTAGGATTGTTGATGACAACATGAGCCAAAGACATGGAAATAAGAAGAGGTGTGGTGTGGAAGGAGAAGCATAGACCAACCCAATAAGGGGGAAGGGTTCTCACGATGCAGTTTGAGTGGACTGAAACTAAATCATTAAGGATCTTGAACTTGATGCCACAAGCAATAAGGGGCTATTGGTTTTTGGATGAACTTTGAAATAGAAGCTAACTCAGCAGATCTGTGATCCCGTTATTGTGGATTAACTCTCTAATGATGCGTATCATAGAACATCCATTTATTCTGCCCACTTTCGTGAATTCATGAATTTCTATGAATTTGCCATAAGGAATCTACCCAACATGCTGAAGGTGGGGGTGAAGGGAGGGAGGTGGGGAGAGAATCACATTTTTCTGATACAATGAGACTACAAGTAGAGCAGATAGAGAAGGAAATGGCAAAACCATATGTGGATGTGTGTAACATTTTGTTGTTGTTTAGTCTTTTCAGTCATGTCTGACTCTGTGTGACTCCCTTTTTGGGGAGTTTTCTTGGCAAAGATACTGGAGTGGTTTGCCATTTCCTTCTCCAGCTCATTTTATAGCATTTTAATTAAAGGCTACCAATTGAAACTCATTCAATCTAGTTCCATGGTGGAAAACTAGGGGGAAATTATTTAATCTGTTTTGGTCTCAATTTTTTCAGTTGGTAAAAGAAAGGATTAATCCAGTTGATGTTTAAGGGTTCCTTCCAGCTCCAGTGCTTTGTGATTTCAGCTCTTTAAAATATAGTTAGTTGTGTAGTTGTTTAATCCCCAAATTCCTTTCAATCTTTACTTCATGTTTAAATTCTTACTATTGTTGCATTTTGTCATACTTGAACAAAATAATTATTTGACACAGAAAGTAGTATTTTTCTAAATATAGTAGAAGGCTCATAAATTGAAAAAAAAGGGCGGGGGAAGAACTTGTGGAAATTGGCTCCTTTAAAAATGCTGCCTTAACTAAAAAAAAAAAAATTCCATTTTTTAGTATCTGAGAATTATTCTTTATTTGCATTAAGTTTTTGACTAATGCTGTTTAATGTGACATTAATTCATTATCCCTGAAGCAGTTTTTTTTGCAGAAACCTTTAGATTATCCAGTTAGAGTGATGGAATATTCATTAAATAAAGTTGTTTAATTGACACAAGCTTTCCATATCTTATCTACTTGTCTTAAAACACACGTACACAACTGAACAATTTATCCTTTTCCAGCTTAAAACGGAGACCTTCTAGTTTAACTCTTTCGAATGCAAAGATAACAAAATATGATGATGATGATGTGATTATCTTAGAAGAGAACAGTACCCCCAAGCCTTCTGTAGAGGCTGATGTCACAGTAGTAAAAACTGAACAGATTCACACAGAGCAAAGTGAGATTCCGTCTGAGAATATTGCTGACAGAGAACCTTGTGAGCTGAATAGGTCGCTGCTCGGTTCAGTATCCAATTCTGGATGTGACTGTGAACCGAAGTCTGCTGCAACACAAACTGAAGTTCCAAATTTAGCAGTTAAAAAGGAAGAAGCTCTTGAATATGACATGGACAGCCAAGATGGTACACAGCAAGCCGTCTCAGAAGCCAAAGCAAAGCAATACGTCCTGAATACAGCTGATCAATCTGCAGGTGATGTTGGATATCAATTAGGTGAACTTAGAAATGAGTTGCAGCTTGTCAGTGAAGAAAAAGAAAATTATAAAAGGCAATGTGAAATGTTAATGGAAAAAGTGAAAACATTAGAAATGAAGATAGTTGAAATGAATGATAAATATGTGAAAAAGGAAACTTGTCATCAATCAACTGAAACTGATGTTGCATTTTTACTTGAAAATGTTAATGGAAATTCCGAAAGTCCAGATCAGATGGCATTTCAATTTGAGCAGACTTTCAAGGAGATAGAAAAGCTGACAGAACACTGTAACACTTTACAAAATTTAAAAGCTGAATGTAGTAAATGTTCAAGCAGTGAGAATAAAACTGAAGTGGATGAAATGGCTGTGCAACTTGATGATGTTTTCAGACAACTGGACAAATGCATTGTTGAAAGGGACCAGTATAAAAATGAGGTAAGATACATAATCAGCTTAAAGAAGAGACAAAACAATAGGATAAGCTGAACAGAAAACCAAATAGGGTTATTTGAGATTTAGAGCATAATGACCAATTTAAAGTACTAGATGTTTTTCTAATTTAGAATTATTAATATAGTGGTAAATGTTCATTAATATATTTCTGAAGTGCTTGTCTTATAATGCTTACTCATTAACTCTGACTCTAGATTTAATATGAAATAACACAAAGACCAAAACTACTTCATCATTACATTTAGCAAATGGATCTAAAAATATGTATTTAGGGGCAGCTAGGTGGCACAGTAGATAGAGCACCAGCCTTGGAGTCGGGAGGACCTGAGTTCAAATCCGGACTCAGACCAAACACTAGACATTTACTAGCTGTGTGACCCTGGGCAAGTCACTTAACCCCAGTTGCCTAAAAATTAAGAAAAAAAATGTATTTATATATTAGTGCCTTTGTGAATAGTCAATGAAATTGGACTTTTACTCAAATCTACTACATGAAATAGGATGTTGGGGGAACTAAGTGGTAAGTGGATAAAGTGCTAAATCTAGGATGACAGTTAAAATCTGTCCTCAAGCACATCTTAACTGTGCGATCCTGGGGAAATCACTTAATTTCTGTCTGTCTCACTTTCCTTATCTGGGGATAATAATAACACCTACTTACTAGAGTTATTATAAGGATAAAATAATATTTGTAAAGCATTTTGCAAACCTTAAAGTGTTCTATAGAAAACAATTGTGTTATTATGCCAAAGATGCACAAAAACTAATAATACCCATTAATCTTTCCCTTGTAGTTCTTCCCCTCCTTCTCTTCTCTCCCATGTGACTTAAGGAAAATTGTGCATGTTTTTAATGAATTTTCCCTTCAATTGATTGTCTTATGCTTTTTTAATAGTCATTAAATTTATCAAGTATTTATTGAACTATTATAGAAGGTTATTCCTCTCCTTTTAACCACTTTCTGAAACTTTTTTGTGTTTTGTGATCACAGAGGTTTTATAAAATTGGTCATATTTGTGCTTTGTAGTGTTTTCAGTTACGGAAATAGAGAATTAATTTACTTTTATTTTTCTGTTAGGTGGAATTATTAGAAATGGAAAAAACACAAATGGGCTTTCAATGTGAAGAACTCAAAACTGAAGTCGAACAGTTAAAAGCCACGGTTTCACAAATGACAAGATCAGATGATTCAACAACTAGTAACATTGAGGCTTCTATGAATTATTCTGATAGGGAAAGGTAATAATGAGCACCTCTTTACTATTAGTTGTCTGTAAGTCTTATTTTTGCGGCTATGATAGCAAATGATCCATCAAGCTTAAACTAAAAAGGTCATTGGATTTGGAATCCTAAGACTTGGGTTCAAATTCTGCTTCTCCAATTTACTGCCAGTGTGGCCTTGGACAATCACTTCACTTCTTTGGGCTTCAGTTTGCTTATAGGGGGCTGGACTAGATCAGGCCTCAAGGCCACAGGTTCCCCAGCCCTGGACTAGATATCATCTTTCAGTTTCCTTCCAGCTCTAAATCTATACTCCAGTGATTTTTCTCTGTCATTCAGGAGCTGTTGAATTTTTGTATGCTCAGTATTCTGCATTATAGACTGCAGAGGCTACAGAATAAGAATGTTTAAACTCTCCCTTTTCCCAAGTTGCTTTGAATCTCATTTAGGAGGCAAAACCAAGTAATTTAGAGAATGATAAAAGAAAATTTATAACTTAATTGAGAGATTGATGAGATTATTGATCATTCATAACAGGGAAAGCTTTCTGGAGGTGGGATATATTAGGCCTTGAAGGCTGTATTCCTGATGTTTATTTTATTTTTTTGAATTATTTTGGTGGGTATTTTTCATTATTTTATTAATAATTTTAAATTCTTATTTCAAAGAACATGGAGTATACTTAAAACTTTTCCACCATAGATTGAGAAAAGTATTTCTTTTAAAATTCTTAAGTAGCTTCTTGGACTCCTCTCTAATTTTTCCTAGGCCACTTTCTATTCCTATCTTCTTGTTTCTTTGTTTCCTTCTTATTGTTCCCTTCCTAGTCCCCTCTCCTTCCAGGAAATACACAGGTATTTGAGTAAAAATGCACAGTGACTGCTTAGCAGAGAGAGGTTTTTAATTCCCTTTGAGCAAGTAGTTATTTGGAAGGCTGTCTTCCACTAGACGAGTATGACAATTAATGGATGTAACATTACTCTGATTCAAAAGGACTGCAAATGGGTTCTGGCATTCTTTTGTGGGATTTGATCCCAACTATGGTTATGCCAGCGCAGTTGCCAATCTGTGTAATAATTTTAGGACCTAAAAGGAACCTTCTCTCTTGCTACCCCAGCCTGCCATGATATCTAATTTTCCCACATTAATCTGCCTTATGGTTTAAGGCACATGGATAAGGCTCTGCTTAAAATGAACAGACTTTATTTTGGGACGGTAGCACTTCAAACTGTTATCCTTTTGCACAGAACATGAGTTTAGTAAATGTATTATAGCAAGGCCTTGAGGAATAGAATACTGGACACATATATACACTGGTAAAGGATGCATTAAACACTGATTATGTTCCTAGAATGGTGCTGTACATTGGCACTTAAGAAATATTAGTTGAATTGAAGAAAGAGTTCTCTGATCTTGTTTTTAAAAATATTTTGATAACTGGTATAGTATAATTGATTTCTCTTATTATTCCATGATTTTAAAAATATTCTTAGAAGAGATCCATAGATTCACCTGACTGTCCATGGCACAAAAAAAGTTGAGAATTCGTGATCAAGATCATGTGTAGCTCCCTCCTTTGTTGATAGGCTTGCTGAAGTTTGAGAAAATCCACAAAGGGCATCAGGGAAAAAGTATAATACAAATATTTTATGTACTTAAAAATTTTGCCATCCCAGCCAAAAGGTGCAGAATGTAATGAAGAATATGGTCTTGGTGAGAATTTGGCTTGTTTGCTATTTCTGGAAAGTGTAATATAAAAGAATTGAGATCATAGGGACATGATAATGAAAAAAGGGAGGGAAAAAAAGTAGGTGGAGGAAAGACATGAAATTTTTAAGATGGTCAAGAATGCAGATATCTGGAATCTTACCATTGTGAGGTACTCTGTAACTTAGTAAGTGATAGAGTGTCTCTTGCCAAAATGAATCATTACTACTACCAAACTAGTAATGAGTCTCCGAATTTTAGGTTAGTCCTTGGAGAAGAGACATGTAATCAGTCCATCAGTAACTAGGCCTATATTCACTGTCAGTTTGGAGTGAACCAGCTCAAGCTTGAGAATTGGGGTTAGCCCATGCTACAATGACCACTTGTGGAGTATATTGTAGAAAGAATTCTTTTTCATGCATGGGTTGATGGCTTGCTATGTTAAAATTCTGAAACTGATTATGTGAGGCATTATAGTAGTACTTTAGTAGGAGATTTTAGTTAAAATCTTTAAACATTACTCAAAATATTCTAATTTTCATAATTTTCTCATAACCACATCTATCTATATTTTTAATGACAATAACTCACATTTATGTAGTACTTTAAGGTTTATACTTTTCTTGAAGCAACCCAAATGTGTTGCATTATTATTACAGAATTTTCCTTATAGAGAGATTTGAACATACGAAGTACTAAGAAGAAATCATTATTAAAACTGTTCAGTTTTTAAAAAGGAATTTTTTTTTGCAAGACAAAAAAAGTATAATTCTTTTGTCATGCAATAGGATTTTTGTGACTAAAAGTACATTGGCTCTGAAGTCAGGGCATGTTGATTGAGATCCTGCCGTTGGTACCTGTGGGACCTTGAGAAAGAGAGGAAGAGTGTAATTTCTCTTGTCCCACCTTTGCAGCAGGATTGTTGTGAGAATTTAATGAGATAATGTACTTAACTTCCCTGCCCTCAGTTTCTTCCTCTGTAAAATGCCTCCTCTCTAATCTAGATCTGTCATATACTGTGAACTTTAATGTGGTACACAAATGCCAGTTACAAGTATAGAGCTGAAAAAGATCGTAGAGATCATCTGGACTATCTCCATCTCATAGATGAGGAAACTGAGGCCTAGAGATATTAAAAAGACAGATATTTAGTGACAGAGCAGGACTTAGAACTCAGGTGTCTAATTCAGTGTTTTTCCGACAAGTTATCTTATTGAAAGGAACACTTTGTAATGCAAATAACTACCCCTTTAATTTGTATAAGTTAAGATTTTCTCTAGACCTACAATATTGTTTTCTCTTTATTAGTGGTTCAAAAATCAAACATGAGAACCTTGTTTCTTATAGTTGCTAAGTGCTTATATTTGTGCAATGTAACTGTCATTACGTTTGATCCTCCAAATTTTTAAATGAAGCTTTCCCTTTCCTCTTTTGTTTACTATAACTCTATGAAAGTTTAGTTTTTGTTTTAAATTTCATTTTTTGATTCTGGCATAATTAAATATACAATGTACATTTTAATATTTCACTTGAGTCTTACGCTCCAGTTCTGGTAAGATTTATGTATTTACATGTTTTGTATCTGTGTTTTCAGCCTCAAACTTCGATCCCTTCGAATTAATGTGGGCCAGCTGCTGGCTTCGATCATGCCCGATCTAGATCTACAGCAAGTAAATTACGATATCGATGTAGTTGATGAAATTCTAGGACAGGTGGTTGAACAAATGCATGAAATCAGTAGTACATAAAATATATTTTCTGTGAAACAACTCTCTCAGTATTTCTGTTGTACAGTTCTTAAGATGTAGGCAATATTCTTCTTTTTTAAAGGTACAGAAGGTAATAAACTAGAGTACTATGTATACCTACTGAAAAAAATACATATTCTATGCACTCAAATATTCCCACAAATGCTGTGGATACTTTGTCACAACTTTTAAAAATGCTGAAAGGTGTTGATCTTTAGCCAGAAATTGTATTACAAATATAAATGTATTTATAATTAAGTCTGCATATATTTTTTATGATGATGCTGGGGACTTAAGTGGTTTCACTAAGAGCTTTTCCGATCACTTCAGACCTTTGTGCAATCTTTCCAGTCCCTCAAATTATATTTTTTTTTCTTAAAATGAGGATTGTGCCACAATTTAAATGGAGAGTTTTCCTTTAGCTTTCTTACATAAAGAATCTTTGGGAATTTTTACTTTAATCTACCTATTTATGACTGAGATTAGTGCCTGCTTTGTGAACCATCTTTAGTAAATGCTGTTAGATTTCTTTTAGATGATTTCCTATCTTTGAAATTGAACATTCTTTAAAACAAGGTAGCAATAATAGTGGTTATATAGGTTTTCCTCACTTTGGTCCTATTTTAATTTCAATACTAGGATTTTTTCCTGCAGAGATTGCCAATCATGTTGACTTACAGAAGTGTTTTATTTTTTTTTTCTTTTGTAAAAATATGGACAGATAAGCTTAAGTATCAGAAAATAAGAGGGTTGACTATATCAAATGTTTAATAAACATCATGAAACTCATTATTGTCTTCCTGTGAAAAATGAGTGTGACTTTCTGTTTAATTTTTTGAAGTTTTCTGGGCAGCCTATTTTAGGAAACATCTTAACTTTGCTGGGTGATCTCTTTAGCAATATTGCATTTTTAGTTATGTTACCAACTTAAATATTCATCATTTTTTGGTTAAATTGGAACTATTGCTATAGTATTATACTGTTGCTGCATTTTGGTGGGATTTCTAACAGATGGCTGTTTCTATTACATGGGACAGCATATGTATGTATATAAACAATTCAGAACCATATTTTTCTCAATTAAAATGTGGGATTTTTTTCAAATCATTTATTATTTATTTTATTTTTTTCTTGAACAATTCAATACTTGTATAGGATACTTTTATAAGGTATGCATAGAATACATGTAGATCATATTAAGATATTAAAATTTTTATGATACATAAAACATTCCCCCCCCCCCCCAAAAAGGCAGCAAGTAAATTAGATTTGGTTATTACCTGGTTGTTAATCAAAAAGTGATTAAAAGTATATTTTTTGTATAAAAAGGTTTTCTGTCAAACTTGTAACTGGTCAAATTTTTTTAAAGCTTTTAATAAACTACATAATGGCTAACTTGAGACACTCTTTTAGAAGTGATCTTATCTTAACTTTGAGCTTTCTAACTGAAATTGGTTAAGAGGGTGAAAGATTGGATCAGTTCATGGCTGGTTTTCCAAGGGTATCATATACCATATACCCTCTGTATCTGGCCTTCTAAGTGTCTATTAAGACAGGATATCTACACAGTGAGGCTACTCAGAAACTTCAGGAATACAGTAGTAAGTGAGCAGGAAAAACCAAAACCAAACCCTCAAGAGAAGCAGTTTCAGATCTCATAGCCAACCTAATGGTTATTCATCTGGGCTATGATTTGTGTTCTTCCTTGCCCCCCCCCCCCCCCCCCAATTAGTTTGGTACAATTGGAGCCAGGAAGTCCCGATTCCAAATTCAGCCTCAGACACCTACTAGCTTTGTGGCTCCAGGCAAGTTACTTAACTTGTTGCCTCAGTTTCCTCAATTGTAAAATGGGGATAATAATAACACCTATCTCCCAGTGGTATTGTGAGGATCAAATGGGGTAATATCTGTAAAGTGCTTTAGCACAAAATATTATAGTGCCTGGCATATAGTAGGCACCATAGAATGCCAGCTGGGGCAAGTAGGTGGCTCAGTGGCTAGAACACCAGCCCTGGAGTCAGGAGGACCTGAGTTCAAATTTGGTCTCAAAAGACACTAGCTATGTGACCCTAGGCAAGTCAACCCCGATTGTCTCCCCCTTAGCTCCCTCCCCCTAAAAAGGAAAAAACGTAATGCCAGCTGTTGTTGTCAGATCTGACATTTGTTGGGGTATCTTACTGGAAAATGGTTCTTGGTGGGATTTGACTTCTTTCTAAGAAACTTACACTATTTCTTCACTACAATGAATTTGTATCTGTGAATGGGCCATATTTACAACATAGCTTCCAGCACTACCAAATGAGTGATCATTGTAATCTTAGTGGTACCTTCAACAATATTGGTAATATGTCTTATGAGGAAAATATTGTGGGAGGTATCTTTTTATTGATATCATAAACAAATGTAGCCTTCCACCTTGCCCACAGATAATCACAAATACTATTCCAAATCAAAAAGCTGATGTGACTTTAGTCTAGCATGATGTCCAGCATTGGGAAGGTGATATTCCTTCTGTACGCTGGTCTCATATGTAGGGTAGTGTTCATTTCTGGTAGCCATATTTTCTCAAGGCACATCTTTGAGAAGAAGGCAACAAGGATGGTGAAAAGGGCCTTAAGATCATGGGTACTAGAGATATTGAGCCCAGAAAATAGAATTTAGGGGGCCACTGAGATGTGTATGGGGAGGAGACATAATAGGTGTTTTCAAGTATCTGATGGATATATCAGACTTACTCTTTTTGACTTTAGAAGTCAGAATTAGGAATAATGGGTGGAAGTTACAAAGAAGCAAATTGAGGCTTTAAAGAAAAAGGATACTAGTATACTTCCCAAATTCACAATTTCAGGCTTATTCTTGTTGCCTTTGCCAAGTCTTACCAGTTCTACAGAGAAAAAGAGGTAATGAACTAGGTTAATGACCCTGTGAGTTAACCTGGTTCATTACCTCTCTTTCTCTCTGAAATCTGTCCTCCACAAAGCTGCCAAAATAATATTCCTAAAGCATAAGTCTGACTATATAATTCTCATACTCAACACACTTCAGAAACTTCTGTGACCTATAAGATTAAATACAAATTCCTGTTTGGCATTTAAATTCCTTAAAAACCAGGTCCAAAAAAGAATTGGAAACTGAGGGAATGCTCATTAATTGGGGAATGGCTGAAAAAGTTGTGGTATATGATTGTGATAGAATAATGAGCAGAATGGTTTCAGAAAAATCTAAGAAGACTTATATGAACTGATGTGAAGTGAAGTGAGCAGAACCAAGAAACATTGTACACTGTAACTACAATATTGTAAGGATGATCAACTGTGAAAGACTTAGCTACTGTGATCAAGACAGTGATCCAAGACAGTTCCAAAGGACCCATGTTGAAAAATACTATCCATTTCCAGAGAGAGAACTGATGAGCTCTAAGTGCAGACTGAAGCATACTTCATTCCGTGTTTTCTTTTGCAACATGGCTAACATGGAAATATTCTGCATGACTTCATGTATAATTGACATCATATTGCTTGCCTTCTCAAGGGGTGGAGGAGTGGTGGGTGGAACAGAGAGAATTTGGAATTCAGAATTTTAAGACATGAATGTTAATTTTTTTAATTGGAATATATTTAATGAAATAATGAAATAAATAAATAAAATATATATGTATATTTTTTAAAAAGGGAACAAAATAGCCAGGTCCAAGTTTACCTTTCAGTGCTTATACATCACATACTCAGACATTACACAGTCAAACTGAGAAACATTAAGTACCTTCTATGTCCCAGGCACTATGCTAAGCACTGGGGATATAAAGAAAGCCACAAACCGGTTCTTTTCTTTTAAGGACCTCCCAGTCTCATGGGGGAGAATTTACAAGCAAGATAGGTAGAGGATAAATTGCAGATAATCTCAGATGAAGGGCACTGAGATTTAAGGAGGGCTGGGAAAGATTTTGTGCAGAAGTTGGGATATTAGATGTGAAGGAAGCCAGGAAGTCCAGAGGTGGAAAATGAAGCAGGGGAGAATTCCAGGTACAGGGTAAAATTCAGCTCAGTTAGGTGATGGGGAGTTGTATGCAGGGAGGCCAGTGTGACTAGATTGCAGAGTACATGGAGGAGGGGAGTAAGATGTAAGAAGGGACCAAAGTCTGAAAGACTTTGAATGCCAAAGAGGATTTTATTTTTTATTCTGGAGATGTAGGGAGCCACTGGATTTTGTTGAAAGGAGACTGACATGGTCAGACCACTCTTTAGGAATATCAGTTTTTACTGCAGAGTGGAGGATGGACTGGAGTAGGGAGTCTTAAAGCAAGGAGACCTACCAACAAGTTATTTCAGTAGTTTGGGTGTGAGGTTATGAGGAATTGCACCAGGATGTTGGCAGTGTCAGAGAAGGGGGCATATATGAGATATGTTAAGAAGATAGAAGTGGCAGGACTTGGCAGCTGATTCGATGATACCTAAGTTCCTATCTTGGGTGACTTGAGAGGATAGAGGTACCATTGATGATAATTGGAAAGTTAAGAAAAGGGGGGGCAGTTTGGGGAAAAGATAATAATTTCAGTTTTGGATAGGTTGACTTTAAAATGCCTACAAGATGTCCAATAGATAGTTGGAGAGGAGACTGGAGGTCAGGTGAGGGAGGTAAAGAACTGGACAAATAGATGAGAAACATCTAGAGATGATAATTCAGTCTACAGAAGCTGATGAAATCATCAAAGGAAAGAGTATAGAGGAGTCCAGGTGCCAGAGTTGCAAGAAGTACAGCAGGCTGATCTAGAAAATGGACCATACTGAATCCCTGATTTGGAAATGAAAAAACAAAATTAGCAAGGTTTGCATAGGGAAAGACAAGTATGTGGACACTGGGAATGAAGTCTGGCCAGGAGAGCAGAGTATCCCAACACAGGAATGGGCTGTGCACCGTAGCAAGAACAGGTCCTACAATCCAGCAGAGAGGGGCTGAGAGGCCGACTGGAAACTCTACTCCCTACCCAGTTCTAGATAATAGATCAAGTACAGTCTGAAGAGGGGATTTTAATGAAGGAATGACATTCCAGGGTGAGGAGTGGTCATGGTTCCTTATGTGTACTGAGCAAGGAACAGAGTCAGAAGCAGGTAGCAGCTATGTGGATTGGATCCTCTCCTAAAATTCAAGTTCCAGCTTCTAGCTCAGTCTGAATCCTATAGAGGAATTACTAGGAAAGGAATCTCACACCAAAAGGAAGCTTACAGTCTGTCACTCTGAAACAGCAACACTTTCCATCTGGCTGATAAGTGGCTAGTCCAGCAGCAATCTACTGAGACTCCAGATGGGACAAGCCCACAGGCCTGGTGCTCAGATTCCAAACCAAGCCATAAACTTGCTGATCTCTGAGCAGGGGGCAAAAATCAAACTTTGCCCTGGATCAGACCACACTGGTAAGCACTAAAAGCTTGTGGGTCCCCAGCCTGAGCTTTCCCTGAGATCCTGGAATAACACACTCCGAGAAAAGTAGCAGCAGGGGGAAGCTAGGTGGTGCAATGGCACCGGCCCTGAAGTCAGAAGGACCTGAGTTCAAAGCTAGCCTCAGACTGAACACTTGATACGTACAAGCTGTGTGACCCTGGGCAAGTCACTTAACCCCAGTTGCCTAATAAAAATAAAAGAAAAGAAAGTAGCAGCAGGTCCAGCCCAGACATTTCCTATAGAAGTGTGCAGAGCCTGGCCTTAATAAAAAGTATGAAGTTCGTATGCTGGAAGAATGAACAACAGAAGAAAAATCCAGCCATAAAAAGCTGTTATAATGAGAAGGATGCTTGGTACACAAATAGAAGAGAACAACTCCATGGGGTGGAGCCAAGATGGTGGAATAAAAGCAGGCACTTGCTTGAGCTCTCCCCCAAACCCCTCCAAATACCTGTAAAAAATGACTCTAAACAAACTCTAGAGCAGTAGAACCCACAAAAAGACAGAGTGAAACAAATTTCCAGCCCAAGACAACCTCTCTGGGAAAGGTCTATTGCACCAGAGTGGGAGAGGAGTGCACTATAGTGTGGGTCGCACCAGCAAAGACAGGGCCCCAGCAAACCCGGAGCAGGCCTTCGGGGACTGAATTATGGGCATCTGTGGCAGTTTCCAGACTTCTCAACCCACAAACACAAAATACAACTTAGAAGATCAGTGGCAAAGGTCTGTTGGACGTGGGGTGAGAGGAAACACGGTGCAGCCCCAGGGGCAGTAGGGATAGCAGTGCCTGCTTCTAGAGCTCTCAGCCCACAGACGGTAAGGGGATCGAACAACTGATCAGAAGATTACAGGGGTCTCTTTGCTGGAACTGAGGCAGGATTCTGTTGTTTTGCCCATACTTGGATCTGGGTCGCAGTCTTAGGGTGAGGAGGAGCACTGGTGTAGCAGAACTTGGAGCAGC